GACACGATCTTCTTGTTGATCTTGAACTCCCACTGCTTGATGTTCGTGTAGCTCTTGGACATCACGTAGTGCACGGAGAAGACGGGGCCGTACTTCTCCATCTTCGACTTGTTCGGCCAGAAGGAGGGATACTGCTGCGACTGCGAGGGCGGCTGGCACAGGACCACCACTGCGGAGCACTCCTGGTCGTAGACCAGCGACCAAAACTCACCCAGCGTGTGCTTCATGGGCCACTCCGTCACTATATACTCCCGGGGCTTCGTGTATCCATCCACGAACACCGAGTTTATATAGTCCGTGAAGGCATTGCCCTGAAAGGAGGTCAGGTAGGGCCTGAAGTTATCCGGCGGCACGCACAATACATCCCTGTTCTTCTCCCGATTATCCGCGCGATGGCCGCCGGCACAGTCGCCGATGGTGAACCGCGGCGTTTGCTTGCAGATCTGATCGTACTCCGCCTGGTACTCGTTCATCTTGGTGCCCGAGTTGCGCCTGGCCTTGGCCTTCAGACGATCCGACAGCTCGGAGACGGGGAACCAGGTCTTTCCGCAGATGATGTGCTCCTCCAGGGTGTCGTAGATGAACTTGTACTGCTCCACGTTTTCCACGAGGCCCTTTCGCGACTGTCGCAGCTTCTTGAGGTAGCCAAAGACGTTGAAGCACTCCTCCTCCTCGGCCAACTCCAGGTTGGCGTCGATGGACATATAGACGCCGGATCTGCCGCCGCCATCGCTGCAGTGCACCAGGATGGGGCCGCGCATATCGTCGCCGTCCTTGATGATGTTGCCCACCACCAAACGGACTCTCCGGCGGAACTCCAACAGGGCATTGGAGAAGGGACACGAGTGGGAGTACCACTCGGTGTAGTGGAACTGCAGGATCAGGCGCTCGTCGGTGACCTCCTGCTTCTCGTTCATCTTGTACAGCCTGAAGGTCCTTATGTGGAAGTTGGCCAGCTGCTCCTCCCTAACGATGTTTATGTAGATGTCGCCGTACTGCTCGTGCACCTCCATGTTCGGGGGCCAGTACTGGTGGCACATCACCTTGGCAAAGTCGAAGGTCTTCGTTAGCATTACGATGGCGCTGATGTTTTCCTGCCACACCATGCGCCAGTAGGCCTGGACGGTCTCCTCCACGGGTCCCTGAGTCACTATGTAGGCATTCGGCTTGAGTAAGCTGTCCACATACGAGGCATTCACGTAGTCCGAGTCCTGCAGACCTCCGATCTTCTCCAGGACAACGCGGTTGTAGTCGTAGGGAATGCACTTGGGGTTCTGATTCTTCTCCTGGTTGTTCTTTTTCATGGCATGCCGACAGGTGTTCGTCTCCACCTTGGCGGCCGTCTGAAACTCCAGCTTATAGAGCACCGGGAACTTTCTCCGCAGGTCGCAGAGCTTGAGGAAATGCCGGATGTCGATGGGTCCCATGGGTATCGTCTTGGACAGGGAGTTGTTCTCGTCGCGGGCCTCCAGCTTGATGCGGTCGAAGGAGAGGAGGCCGCTGTTGAGCATACTCAGCTTGATGGTGTTCGGGATGGAGACGATGGCTCGGCTCTTGCGCTGCTGCTTCTCCACGTCGTCGTATCGGGCAGATGACCTCGACCTGTGCTTCCCACCACCAGCTTTTCCGCCCGCCGATGCCGAGCTGCCGCCCCCAGTGGTCGCTGCCGTCATTTTTGCACCTCCTTCCGCTGGTTTTTCCTCGGTTTCCGCCTCTGCTTCCGCTGACTTTCCCACAAGCTGCTGCTGCTGCTGCTGCTGCGTTGTCATCATCAAATCACGATGCCAGAAAGTGTCGTCGTCGTCGTCGTTGTTTTTCGATTCGTGTATAGAGGAGGAAGTAGTGTGTCGATTAGTCCACTTGTCTCTACATTTTCAACAGCATTCCCCTGACTTTTCTTATTATTTTCTCTCGCTTCGGGTTAGTAAATTAGTGGCATTCCAGGAAAACTTAGGGGTTAGTGGTACTCGAGAGTGTTAGCTAATTTGTTCACCTTTTTCGGGCTCTATGTGCGTTGCGATGCGCGTTTTGGTTTGGTTTCGTTATAAAAAGAATTTCGTGTATATTCTGTGTATATTCTTCGTATATTCTGCTGGTTTTTCCTTCCTCCGTCTCGTTCTCTCGCTGCCATTCACATTCACAATAGAACGCAACGAGGCGATTTTCCTCGTTGCTGTGGCGAAAATCGTTCGGCGACTGAAAACTGCTGCCGATTTGCGTCGAAAAACTGGCGATTTTCCTCCACAGCAACGTCGTCGTTGTCGTTGGGAGCGCGGAATGCCCAGTCGGAGAGCCGAAGAGCGGGAAAATGCCGAGCGGAGAGCACATTTTCACCATACAGCATTTTCACCCATGTGACTCTGGCGCCACTTGATGGGCGCTCCGACGCTGGGCGGTGGGGTGCGCGGGTATTTTTAGACAGCGCGGGCGGACAGCGCTAAGTGGTCACAGTGGGTTTTTCTTGTTAATACAAGAAGTATTATTTATTTTTTGGGATTTTTTATAGGTAAAAATAATTTATATTGGCTGTAAGAGCCTAAAAATTGAAAATAATCACAATTTCATGATGAAAATTGTTTATTTTCAAAGAACATACATTTTGGGAATTGTCAGTACTCAAAAGTATTAAGATATTTAGTAAATATATTACTTCGAATTTTAAGAAGTAACCCATAAATATTTAATAAAATGTTATACCAATTGTTCAAACTAATTTTCTATAATAGAATATCTAGCATCTCCAAACACTGTGCAATTCACCTTATAGTATGAATGAAAATTTCGATTTTCCCATTGCCTGCTCATTTTGAGCAGTGGCTAAAATTTTCCATCTAGCAGCACAGCACCACATACCAGAATTTTCTCTCCTGATTTTTCACACTCTCTCTCTCGTTTTGGGGAATTTCTCTTGGCGCCTGCGCCCTGGCCGAGTTTTTCACTTTTCATTTTGCGTATTTTGTTCGTCGTCTATTGTTTTCTGTAGAACGATGTGTAATTGAAAATTCCGCAGGTTAAATGAGGAAGTGACGCTGATTCTGTTCGGCTAGCATTTTATTTTCCATATTTAATTGGCAGGGAAAACATGTATCATTTTTATGCATAAATAATCGGAATCAGTAAATTTACATTTCCTGCTCGCAGCCAGCCAGCTGTGATGGTTTGTTGATATTCTCTGCTGCCATTGTTATTATTATCGCCTCTCTCTCTGTGTTTTGGCCTGACTTTTTGCTGTCTTTCTGCGGTTTGTTTGCGAATTTCGTATTTCCGCATGCACTTTGTCTGCAAATAGCATTTTGGCACTGGCCCACGGAAAAAACAAGAGAGGAAGCGGAGGCCCGTCAAGAACAAACAACAAATTGCAATTGCAATTTCGCTGTAATCGTGTTTGAACCCCATCCCCCCATGGGGTTTGAGGTGGCCAGTGGCAACAGAAAAAAATTCGAATTTCAAAATAATTACACGAGAATCCGACACGAGTGTTAAAATAAAACAGAGGAAGATAAATCAAATCGAGTGCCAGTGCCTGTGCACTGACTGACTGAAGAAGGTACTCGTAATTTTTTTTTAATTCAAAAATTTGATTGTCATCTGGCCTTGATGCTTGACACATTCAAGTTTGATGACCTCACGGTGATTGAGCGCCCAGAAATGTGAATGCAAATTCAAGTTCAGATGCGTTTGCATCTGTAATTTTGATTGGAAAAATCTCAATGGGTAATTGCATTCGCGGGAGAATTATATATTAAATATATTGGTGGAAATTCTGTTTGAATAAAATAAACCAATTTTTGATTGAACAAAAATAAACCATATCTAGTTGTTATGCATGAGAAATAACCCCTTTCGGGTTGAATTTTTAGTTTTAAAAACATCTGAATATAGGAAAAGTTCATTGGTGTTCATGGTTTCATTTACATCTGCCAGAAAAAATGTTATTTGCGTGATTTCGTCTGGAAATTTGAACATTTCAGCTTTCTTTAAACTTAAACTAGCAAATAGTTTAAACTTAAAATCACTAATATTATGAAATTTGCAAATGTTACCTTTAACTCATTCAATTTCCTCTTTACTAACCGTGAAATCATCGCCAGCTGTTGGCACTCTGCACAGATTATTTGGCAAGGATATTTGCATATAGCCAATTAGCAGCTAACCATGAAATCGATGCCTCGGCTTCCCGAAATTCTCTTTAGCGCAAATCCATAATAGATTCAAGTATTCGCCCCATTAAGTCCCGGGAGCTGGCCACAGGAGGAGCTGAAAGCTGGGGGCCGGGAGAGTGGTCGTCGGTGGGCCTAATTTAATATATATGATCCGGTCGGTCGGGTCACACGAAAATCCCGGAGCAAAGCCGCTTGGCAATTGTAAACTGTAGTAGGCACCTAATTTGCGAACTGTTGAGCCATTAGAGGGCACAAGGTGCCATCCGAATCCGCCCACAGAGGCAATGCCCCAAAAACCCCTCAGAAAGGGCACTTAAGTACATAACTACCGAGACACGACCACCTCGCCACCATTTTCCCATGGACACTGTGGAAAAAGGGTAGTAAGATTTCTGAAGGAAAATCATTGAATTTAGTCAAATGATTTCATAGAAAGGGAATTTTATTTCACGATCTTTGGATTAATAAAAAGGAAGATTAACGAACTTAGTTTAGGAGAAGTTCAATATTTATTTTGGGAGGCTAGAATCTTTTTATTAGTTGAATTTCTTGCAGTGCCCGCCCACACTTTCCCCGCTGCACATGTTTATGGCTAAGCCAACAAAGCGTTGACTGCGGTTGACCATAGTTACGCGTACAATGGAGTCGGGAAACCTGAGGAAGGCAGCCCAGTGGGAGCGAGGAGGGGACGAGAAAGGACGAGCCGCCTCATCAGCGACCAAAATCCCCATGTAAGCTCCACAAAGGACAAACAACCCTCGGACCCGAGGACCGTTCAACTAATTAGCATTAAATCAGCTGCAAGAAATGCGGAAAGAGTGGTGGCCCATGACTTACCTTGCCGAATATGGTGAGGCCGCCGTGCTTCATGTTGAAGGTTGGGGCATCCGCATAACTCGAGTCCGCCCAGGGGGTGTGGCAGGTGGAGGTGAGCGTCATGTACCTTACTCCGATGGCATACAGGGTGCGTAATACCGCCAGGGATCCGCCCAGCGAGTGACCGCCCTCCACGCCGGTCAAGGAGCACAGTTGCTGATTCTTGTGCGCCTCGATAATGTCTGCAAAAGAGGTTTCAGAAATGTTATTTTTAAATAGAATTTGTCAGAAAAGTTTGTGAATAAATTGCAAACTACTTTTTATATCAACGAGTTTTGGCCAAGAATTAAACAAAAAGCTTTTTAATTTCATGACATGTCTACTGATATTCCTCCCCCCAAACTGCACTCACTGGACAGACGAGTGGCTGAAGTGCTTGGGGTTTTGTGGATAAACTTCAGACTTGGCCTCGACTGGCTTTGTTTTTTTTTTTTTTTTGGCCATGAGTAACATTTGTTGTTCTGCGGCCTGTCATTCGCTCGACTGCCCTGCCTCCATAGAGGGCAGAGCACTCAGGGCTCAGTGCATTGTGGCTGGTCCTGGTCCTGGTCCGGGCCAAGCTGGCCCTGGTCCTTGTCAGTTTATCCGTTGGCCAACAAAGCATCTCGCTGTGCCATGCAATATTCACGCTTGTCTTGGCTCCGGGAAAGCTTTGATCTGTTTCTTGACATTTTATTCAGCTGCCAACGAGCACTTGTCAAAATCCTTGTGCATTGCTCATTCATTCATTACATTCATTGTTTTAAGCCAGCCAAGCCAACCAGCAATGTTTGCTTAAAGTTTAAAGTACCCACACACATATTGTTTGGAGTGTCTTGGAGTGGAGTTGAGCTACAAACTTGACTCAACAATGGTCAGTGGAAAAGTTTAAATGACTTAAAATAATCATTTAGCTTAGAAAGGACTTTTTCAAGTGATGAACTTGAACTTGTGGGCAGAAGTTTAAGCTATTTTAATTATTAAACAATTTATTAAATACTGCAAAAGGTGCGATAATAAAAGCATTCCAAAACCCATTTAATTTATTGTATTTCGTATCATGTACCAACCTCTTATTAATTTATCTGCAAATGTACATTGAGAGAACCCTTGGAAAAAGGTCCAAATATGTCATTGATTGATGTGTAAAACATTCCCTTATTTTAATGGATTTGTCAATCACCAATGTTGTTCCGTTTTATCTGCAACTAATTGGAGAACCATGTTTTTGTGGGAACCTTTGCGCACTTCTGGGTCCCCCGAAAATGGTTGTTGTTCCCATTTCCCAGAAGCTATTCAAATCAGAGGCATTTGTGTGCCCAATTTTGATAACATTTCGAATGTCTCGCACACACACTCTCCTCTTTCCCCACCAAACGGAAAGCGGGTTAATAAATTTTGCCACATAACGAAGGCCAACAGGCATTACTTGCTGGGCGAGGGAGACGAAGGAGGGGGGCAACTGGAAATTGGCAACAGGAAAAGGACTCAAGACCAAGACACAGGGACTGGCGAAGTTTTCATGGCTATAAGCAAATAAGCTGCGACCAAAATCAAAGGCAACGTCAGGTGGAAGGAAGTGGGGAATTGTTACCGCCGATGCTGTTTTCTATAGCATGCACTGCGAAAAAATTAACTGTATTTGGTATTTTTGCAATGGACATTTTTAATGCTATAAAAGTCTATTCTAAAATCATTTAAAATGTTGTCTTAAAGTGTACTTTAGATATAAAGTCTAGCGTTTTACTTTGTATTTCCTTTTCTTTATCCTTAAACCGTTTTTTCAGTGCACTTTTCTTATATATATTCCCTTCGCTTTCTGTGCATTGTTGGGAAAGGCCAAAATACCTGCCACAAGAATAACCTGGTCGATGTCGGAAACGTCGTAAAACCCTAAAATATGGAGCAAATAAACAAATGTACCAGAAACCAATACCAATACTAGGGAATCCTTCTCAGGAATCCTTCTCTGGCAGCCGAAGGCACTAAAATACGCCACGTGAGCTGAAGTTCAATTTTGTAGCCGGGACTTTGACTCCGGCCTTTGGTTCTGCTCCTGCATGTAATTGTCTGTGACTGCGACTGTGTGACGGTGACTACTCTTCTCTGTTGCTGTTCCCGTGCTCTCCTTGTCCTCCTCCGGTTCCTCGATTTCTGGCGACCGGGGCCGTAATGTATAATAGATGGCCGTCCTCGGATCGGATGCGAATTGAGGCAACTCTTGTGGAGCACTCGCTCGCCTGCACACACACACACGGGAAGTGCTCCAATACATTTCAAAATGAAAATCCCTACCGAAATGCCACTTGACGCAATAAACCAAAAGCAATGGGCAACAGCCAGCAATACAAAAGGGGAACAATGAAGGCGGCAGGAATTTGGATGGATGAAACATTAGATACCCTAGAGTTATTGCCAAGTGAGGGTGCTTAAAGATCGAGTCATAGTTTAGGTTTAGGTTTAGTTTTTAAACAAAATCTTGACTTACATTATTAAGCAAGTATTTATAAACTTGATGTACATTTACTATTTTCCTGATATTTATATACAGCTTCTTACGATCTTAAATAAATATACATATGAATAAAAATACAACCCTGCCGTTTTTTATATTTTGAATTAAAACCTCCTTAAACCAGTATACCCTACGTTTTAGTGAGTGTACTTTAGAGAGTGCCCGACTTGATGCGACCAAATGCGCCCTTCGCTTCTTATTTTTGTTTTTCTTTTTTGCTGCAGCAGAATGCAATTTTCTCAATATCCTTCTTCTCGAGCTGCTCCTGCTGTGTTCGGAGCTGTGTAAATTGAAGTTTACACTTTTGAAGGTGAAAATTGAAAATTGCAAATAAAAGCGATTCGCACATTGGGCTGTGCCAAATGTAAAGTAGCTGCGATGCTGGCTGCTGGCCACTGGCAGGTGACAGGAACGAGAAGGACACTAGTACTGCCACAAGGATATCATCCGAGGGATATGCAATCGCATTTCCCGAGCACTTTCTGCATGTCTCCTGTGTTTATGCAGCGCTCATTTGTTTAGTTGGACAAGGGACAGGTGATCTGCACTCGAAGAAAAATATATAAACATGCATCTTGAAAAAGAAATCTATTTTGAAAAGGTTTAAGCTTTGAGGGCTTAATAACTTTATGTGTTTAAAAACACTTTTTAAATGTGTATTTATTCTCTAAAGAGGGAAACGTCATTTGCTAAGAGATATAAATTAACCCCAAGATTGTGTTATACTTCAAGTAGATTCCCCTGTTAGCTCAGCATTTACTTCCCTGATTTAAGGTCATTTCTCCTGGTGCAAGACACCAACTTGGACCTGGTGTGGACTTGGATTTGGATTCCGCATTCGCATTCTGAAGCGGGAGCCAGTGAGTGACGCTGCCCGTCACTCGTCGCGTTGTATTTCGGTTCGTTAGGTTTGCATTTTTTACAATCACTTTGGCAGGAGTTGCTCCAGAAAGGACCCGGTCAAAAGGGAGTAGAGCAGAGTCCTGGGGAAAGCACGCCCTGCTGCATTTGCTCAATAGTCACTTGGATTCGCATTTTATTTACACGACATGTGAGCGGGTGGACGGGCGGTTGGTTGAGCGGACACAACAATTTCAGCTGAATTTATTTGCAGTAGTTAAAATAAAATGCTCGGTTTTATTTTATGCAGCGGCAGCTGGGATTTCACGAACCTCGGAGGCGAGGTCGCTTTATTTTGATTCCACTTTTATTTTGGTACTTTGCCAGTACACAGTACAGCAAGCCAAGGTAGGTCAGTTTTGGCTGGTTTCACTTTGATTTCTGTACTTGGGCCTTTGATTCGCAAGCTGGTTTACAGCCAGGCTCAAAGGGGATTTCCGATTGATTATATGGAAATGTGGCGGGGATTTGTTTGGCAAGTAATTGAAAGCTGTTTTGTTGTTGCCAGTGTAAAGCCGATTGCCTATCATTATTTGCATATCATATCGGTAGTGGGATAAAATTATGGGTTTCAATGGATTTAAATAAGAGAAAGTTGATGTTTAATCAACTGTAATTGAGGTTGTAATTTAAGAGCTGACGTAAAAGCAAATATGTTATAAATTAAGGAGATTTCGATGGGTTAAAGTTGGGTATGAGACGTTTTACTCAATATTTTTTCGCTAGTATTTCTGTAAATTAGGAAATATCATTGAAAACTTTCCTGCTGTAAGGTCACTCATAGGAAACAATCACTCGCTTTAATTTCATTTTGCTTATTGTCTCTTATTTCCACCTTATGGGGTGCTTCCCATTATTTTTTCACCAAGCTCCAATTTTAATCAAATTTATTGCTCAATTTGCCAGTTCACTCGGTTCACTCAATCCAATTTCCTCAGCACGAAAAAAACCGCATCAATTAAGAGGAAACATTTTTCTGCTGACCTCGACAGAGGTCCCGGAGACCCCCGGAGATGGATTGGGAAAACGGAGAAGGAGGAGGCCATCAAGGAGATTGGCACAAACTGCTCACTTCTGTTTGATTCCCACAGAGATGTTCATATTTGCAAGGATTCAAAGTTGTCTTTTGGCTTCTTCTGCACCTCTGACAAAAAAAAAAGGATAAACATCCTTGGCCCACTCCCCACTCACACATATGCGCTGCGATTGTGCCAGTAATATTTCTTGGCTAAAAGTTTTCCTGTTTCATATTTCTTGTTGTGTTTTGCGGATGATTTTCCTTCTGAGCCATGATTTATTGACATTTCCATTTACGGCTACATAAATGTTTCAACGCAAATGCCGGAAGCGATTTGTTGCTTTTTCAGGCTTTTCTTATTTTTATTTCTGTAGTTTCCTCTGTGCCATTTGCCCCGATTCTTTGTGTGTGTTGCAGCAGCTGCAACACTAAAATATTGCCAGGACCTCGGTATACCCACACCCCAGGAGGACCTTAGAGTCCGTGCCGCGGAGTGGGTGCAAATCAAAATGCAAAACGGAAAACCAACAAGGAAACTCAAATGCTGGCCGGGGAGTCGGGGCATAAGTCAAAAGTTGCTTCTTGCAACTGAGCTCCATTGCTCTCTATATTATACCATGCTGTTTTTCTTGCACTTGCAAAAATAATGGATTAACAATTGATCAAGTTGTGAAATTAAATATCATAAAAATGTCTTAAATATACAAGTAATACTATAAACACACAATATCTAAACTGTTCTGTGAATATATAAGGCCTTCAAGCTTTACCAACCAATTTTCTGCCAGTGCAAGGTATGTTTGGCAAGTCTGCCGCCCTTTTCCCTACCCCTCCTCGCACACAAGGAAATATGAACTGTTTTCCTTTCGCTTAAACGAGGCCTCTCCTCCTTTCTTCTGCCAACTAGGTGAGTGAGCAGCAGCAGCGTATCAAAGGAAATGGTGCAAAAATATGGCACGCGGTAAGCAGCGGCACGAAAGCCGCCTCAAGGGCCGCCATCTACTCCGGTGAAACTGCTTTTTGGTAGCCGGCCAAGATACTTTTCAACAACTTTTTCGCCCAAGACTCGAAGTTTTCCGGCAGCAAAAAAAAAAACTAGTGAAAAAAGAGCGGTAGCAGCAGTAGCGTCTGGAATTTTTCTCGTTCCCGGAATACTTTCAGTTTCCCAGATGTTTTCCGGAATGCGCCAGTGTGCCTACGCGGCGTATGTGCGATATTTTTTGGCGTTAAACTTACCCTGAGCGGAGGTGCAGGTGGTGAGCTGCGGGGAGTAGCGATCCGTCAGCCGCTTGATCACGTCAATCTGCTCCAGAGTCAGCTGCACTGCGTCTCGATGCTGCGCCTCACAGGGGACATAGGCGGCCCAGAACTGGAAGAGTGGGAAAAATATTACAGATTAGTTTATTGGGGAAATTAATGAAAATTTTAAGTTTTAATTATGGTTGCTAATTGATTATGTCTGCATATTACTTCTGGGAAGCCTCCCAATTAGCATTCACTACTACAATCTTGCTTCACTAAAGTATTTTTTTGTAAGACTCAACAATTTATAGTCTTTTTTTTTTAGTCTGGGAATCTGAAAGTTTTTTGTTAATTGCACATTACTTTGAAGAGTGATATACAACCTTCCATAAACTGAAACTCCTTGAAGAGCGCGTGGAAAAATAGAAAACAAGAAAAACTGAGCGTGGTGGCAGGGGCAAAACAGTTTTATCACGTTATATCATTAAAGGAAAATAAAGGCACGTACGTGTCTCCATGGAGCTGAAGCCAGAATGAGGAACGAACGAGGACGAACGAGCTGTGCAGGAGAGTGGCAGAAGGCGAAAAGCGATTCGGAAAAAAGAGCAATTAAAAAGTTTTGGCTTTTTGTACTCCGCACACGGAAGGGAGCGGGCGGGCTGGCGGGAAATGTGAGGAAGCCCCAGTAATAAATAATTTTTAATATAAATTCGTGAGAGGCCTGAACTAGAAAACCCGGAAGAAAGGCCCTATTTCTCCAGCCATATTTTTCGTTCATTTCTTTTCTTTTTTTTTTCGACGTGCTAAGCACGTAGTTTAAAACCATTTCAGTGCCGGGCAGTAAATTAAAACCAAAAACAAGGGCCATACTCTAAATGTTCATTTGTTCTGTTTCGTTTTCTGTTTCGGTTTTCCTGCCCCCTAGTGGATGATGATGGTGATAAAGTTTGGCGTAATTCATGGAGGAAAATTCGGTTTGCTCCCAGGTTGGCCTCCGATGTGCATATGAAATATGTAAAACTTTTCAATAAACGAGTCACAGAAAAACAATTACGGCCAGAGATGGAATGGATGAATGGTGTGTGTAGTGTGTAGTGTGTAGTTGCTGTGTGTGTGTGTCCTGTGTTAGTTGCAGAATTGGATTTGCGAGTCTCGGGCTGTTGGACTCTCCTGGGGAAACTCTTGGCCCCTGCATTTGTGCAATTTTAATTGCACAACAGACGAGGAAATTTTGTGGATTTCCCAGCACCTGCTATGCGCCGAATAAACACTGAACAATAACAAGGACAACTGCACATGGAATTCCATTCCGTGCAAAAGGCAGAAGTTTATCCACAACTCCCCTGTCCCAGTCCCCCGCTAGTGTTGATTTTTAGTTGAGTTTTTCCGGGCAGCACTCACTTATGCATACCGAGAGGAAAGCCCGGAAAACCCCAAAAATGGGCGTAAGTTTCCATCTGCCAGACTGGCGGGACTTATCAGGTGGCCAGAGTACAGGGGCATTAGTTCAATTCGGGTTAATTGTATGGACCATGCAGTCGTAACCATGGCAATGCCACACTCCTCCCTGTTCATTACCATTTGCGTTCATTTGCGCTCCTGGACTCTGGGCTCAGAGTTCCGGATTCGGGTTTCGAGGTATGCTCCGGTGACCCCATGCCCCCCGGTGAAATAATGAAATGCTAAGGCTAAATGATAACCGTACTAATGGCTGTGCTTGTTCAAAGGCAAAAAATCGTGTGGAAAATATGATTGCAACATTCGTCTGTTTCTGGTAATTAAGTTAATTACAAGGAATTATTTGGCAGCGTTTCGGGTGGTATTTGGGCTTCATGGGAATACGGGAATTTCCATTTTTCAGAGGGGGTATTTGCATGGCTTAAAAATTTAACTTTTTATTTAAGAAGATAATTTAAGAAAAACAAGTTATGAATCTGCATAAACAGCTTAAAGTTAATTCTTTATCTTTTCTTTATATTTTTAATGAATTAAGGAACTTAGATATTTTTTTCCTTACCTTCAATATTTAATGCTCTGTTTTTAAGTCACATTTAATACAATTATTAAGTAAAAATTAATATTTTGAATTATTTTTTAAATTTATATATTTTATTTCTCTACAAACCATTTAAGAACCTCTTTTTTTGGGTACATTAAATCCCAAATAAAGCAATTTACATAAAATGCTTTTTTTTTGGGGGCTTCGCCAGGTAGATAAGGAAAATGTCCCGACATTACCGCAGACAGAAGCCTCGTGGCGAATGCGAGGGCAAACAGGGACCAATGGAAATCTCACTTTTTCATCCGTTTTCATGTCGCTTTGTTCGCGTTATTTTCCACGCACAACTTTGCATTTTCTTTTTGCTCCGCGTGTGTCCTTTTTGGTTTTTTTGTTGCTTAATTTTCCCTTTTTTTTTTTTTTTTTTGCGCAAAAGCCTCTTAAAACATTTTGTTAGGCATTAAAACGGGTTTTTCGCAACAGATGGGATGGGGTGTGAAATGTCTGGGTTTGTGTTATGATTGGTGGCAACAGGTACACCGTGGCGTATGCGCAATTTTCTATGTAAAAGCCCACGTTTCTCAGAAGATGATTGCTGTGGGAAATTCCTACCTTTGCTGCTCAGCTTTACACTGGTCATTGTAAGGTAGATAGGATTTAAAATTATTACTGAATTGCGAAAATATGAATAGTGGAATTTATTATTGAACTGACACAGACATGAAAATAAATTCATAAGGAAATTGTGGTATATATGAATATTAGAACTTGTTCTGTTTACCAACGGTTATTTTTTATTTTTCTGCCGCCCCCTCGTTATACCTATTTTTCTCGCTATATTTTCTCACAATTTCGCGCTTTGTTCAGCTTTCTGGCATATTCAATGGCAGCAGTTGGCATTCTTTTCTGTTTTATCCGGGCAGCGAAAATATTTCATTTATGCTTTGGGTCTCCGGCGGGGCATCACCTGTTGATGGTTGATGTTATGCCATTTTGGTACCGCTTTCAGTCTTTATATTCGACCCTCTTTCAGTCCATGTTTAGCCCCCCTTTTCACCAGTGTTAACTCCCCTGTTTCCCCTTTTTCACCTGAGTTATCATCCAGCTTTTTCACCCGTCCTCCCTATGACTTCACAATGGCCAAGACAAGTACCTTTGTTTGTCGAGAAGTGAATATGTGACTTGAAACTCGGGGGCGGCCTTTTGTGTATTTGGCTTTCTGAAGGCGGCGCCTTCAAGTGTGTTTAAGCACGGCACTTGGCCATTAGCCCACAAGGCCGAGTGCTCCTCCTCCTTACACCTGCTGCAGTGCCATCATTATCGTCATCATCGTGGCCAAAAGTGTCGTCGCCTTTGGTGTTCTCAAACCAGGTCCCATCATCGTCATCGCCCCCTGTCCCCACACTCATCCTGTGCTGGGCACAAAGCACATTAATATTTAAACTGGCTTTCGGTGCAACTACAGCTCCCTCAAGGACAACATTTTGGCTTCGAGTTAATTGTGAATCTGGCCATGTTGTTGCCGTTGTTGTGGCGACGGTGGCCATATGCGTGATTTGTTGTCAATGGGCGGCACGTGTGAATGTGTTTGCCCAATGTGAACAAGTGTATGTGTGTTTATGCAGGGTAAAAAATGATAACAAAAATGGATGTAATAATAGGATTAAACTAAGACAATGCTAGGGCAAGCCATTAAGACCCTCGACTATAATCCTAGCTAAAAGGAAATATGAATATATATTTCGAAATTAAGAACAAATACCACTCATATTATTGTTTAGTCAGAAAATAAACAATTGGGAGGTTTAAATTAACAAGATAAATTGGTTAAATAATTTGTGGGAATAAAGAAAGCAATGAGTAATTAACTAACAATTTCGAAGCTCACAAGCATAATTGCAGTAATTTTCCTTTGTGTAATTTTGGGTGCCTTTCTGTGGTTATTTGTGTAACTTTGTTGCTATTATTGTTAGATAATTCATATATTTAAGTCTGAACACAATTTACAATAACATTAGCAGCTGGGACCCGAACTTACCCCTGAGCATTCAGATTTGTGTGCATATATAATATATACACAAACCCAAATCTATATTTTTTAAGTATTTTCCAGGCGTTATTACACACAAAATTCAATCGTAGGTCGCTTTTAAATATTTCATTGGCTCACTTTAAATTAATACTTCTCTCAGCAGGTGTTTTAATTAGAAATTAACTCTCCAGACCCCCAGGTATTTCTGTGACTCGATGCCAGGAATGTGTGTTTGCTAGAAATATAAAGGGATTTCCGCCAAAGGGCAGCTCTCTTTTTGATTGCTTTGCGGCATAGCAATGCATTCCATAATTACTGCGGGATAGGAATGTCTGGCTTAGGGAAATCTGGTGCATAAGCCGAGCAACAGCTTGTGGCGGCTGGCTAGCAAAAACCGCAAGTCCAACACCTTTGCAATCCCACAAGAATGCAACAAGAGGCACATAACCCAGAGTCCGCAAAACAAATCCCCAGAAAACCTCGAAATTTTTTTTAGACCACAGAAAAAAATTGTGTGGTGTTGTTTCCTTTGGATTTTGGTTTTATTTCGGCTTTCAGTCAAGAGACCCAGTGTCAGTGGCTACTTCCGTGTGTCTACCTCAACACTAAATACGTTTCATACCCTTGCAAGGGTCAGCTAATAGCCTTTTTGGCTTAGTTATGGTTTAAACTTTAAGATTTTTAACTACCATTTGGTTCTTAAACTATGCAGAAGCCTGTTCTCTGTATGTTCTCTGTATCTCTGTGGAGGGTATGAAAACCAGAAGCAGGACAACAGTCGAGCAGCGTATTTCCCCCACCATAACGATGCCATGTCCTCCGTGTCCTGCATGCCCCAAATGTCCTGGATGTCCTGGCCCAGATTACAGCCTCCTCGTCGTCGTCGTCGTCGTCGACGACTACTACTCTTCGTTGCGGCCACTTCCGCTCCAAGCGCGTCCTTCGTCGCCATTGTTTCCCCCTCAGCCGCTGCATGTGCACTTCCCATTAGGCTTTGTGTGTGTGTGTGTGCGGGCGAGGAGTCCAAGGATAGCAGCGCCGCAGAGTGGGGCAAAGGAGAAGCGCCGAAATGGAGGAAGTTGAAGGCAGAAGGAGCAAAGGAAGAATGCAGGGCAGTCATGCAGCCGGACAAGCGTAACACGACGTTTCCGTGTCCCGGCCCCGAAAAACAGTGGCCAACTTTTTGGAGCTTCATGATGTTTCAACATTGTTGCTACCTGTTCTTGGCTATCTTCTTTCCGCGTCCACGAAGAAAAATATTATATTTCGATTAGTGAAGAAGTAAATGAATTTTTCAGACAATTTAAAGTGTAATTTCTGAAATAGGATTAAGTAACTATGCCCTTTTCAATTGGATTTTTCTCATTTATAATTAAGAAATCAAATAAATTTTTTAAAATTTCTTCCGGTACATTATCCCTCGTTCTTCTCCATTTCTCATCAAGGCCTCGTCTGGGACACAGATGGCGTTTTTTTTTTCAAGGAAAAGGCTTGGGTCTGGGCTAAAAACTGCAGCCACACTTACAAGATTTTAAGCGCTTGATGGTTTCAACGTGATTTTCCGCCCAGCAAGCCCCTGCTTTTTTATTTTTTAAATTCTTTGTTTTGCGTTTTCGAAGAGCATTCGTTGCACGTTTGGCATTTTGGGCAACAAATTGTTGAAACATGTTGTCAACTAGTTAGTTGCCACGTTGTTGGCTTGTTGTTATTGCCAGAAATTTGGGTGTTGCTGCCCCTGTCGCTGTGGAGAGCGGGTTTATTGAGTTAACTTGTTTGCCGGGAATTGAGTGTTGCTAAAGTTTTCAAATCGGAGTTGTGCCAACACATTAGGCGAAGCCATAAAAATGCTATGCAAAAGCCTGGGCAACATATACCATTTTGGACTGATGAAGAACAGGAAAAACTACTAAAGGTACCCTAGACAAGAAAGACAAAAATTTCCGCCCTCTGTACCTTTATACCCTTGCAGGGTATTATATTTTAGTCAAAAGTGTGTGAAGGAGTCATTTCCGACCCTATAAATCATATATATTCTTGATCAGCACAAAAAGCTGAGTCAATCTAGGCATGTTTAGCAGAAAGTAAAAAAAAAAGTTATTTTTTCATTTTTGAGGTCTTAAAATAGTTGAAATTGTCAAAAAAAAATTGGCAAAAATTTTGTTTTCTTGAAATGTGAAATTTAGTATGCAGTTTCGTTACCCTAGAAAGAACTAGCACAGAAAAGCTTTCCGAATTGAATTTGATGCTTTTTTGGCTTAGTTATGATTATTTTTTATAAAAAAATTACAATTTAAAATATATAAAAATATTCATTTAGAGAGTGTGAATATTTTAGATCTTCTTGAGTGGTTTTATGATTTTTGTCTGCGAAGGAGTCGTTTCCGACCCTATATCTCATATATATTCTTGATCAGCACAAAAAGAGGAGTCGATCTAGCTATGTTTGGAAGAAAAACATTTTTCCAAATTTTTTTTTGTATTTTTGAGGTTTTAAATGGTTCAATTGTCACAGAAAAAATTAGCAAAAATTTTAATATCTTAAAATGTAAAATTTAGTAAGCAGATTTGTTTATCTGGAAAAAACTAGCACAGAAAAACTTTCCGAATTGAATTTGATGCTTTTTTGGCTTAGTTATGATTATTTTTTATAAAAAAAATACCATTTAAAATATATAAAAATATTCATTTGAAAAAAATGAATATTTCAGATCTTCTTGAAGGGTTTTCATGATTTTAGACAGCGAAGGAGTCATTTCCGACCCTATATCTCATATATATTCTTGATCAGCACAAAAAGAGGAGTCGATCTAGCTATGTTTGGAAGAAAAACATTTTTCCAAATTTTTTTTTGTATTTTTGAGGTTTTAAATGGTTCAATTGTCACAGAAAAAATTTGCAAAAATTGTAATATCTTAAAATGTAAAACTTAGTATGCAGATTTGTTTATCTGGAAAAAACTAGCACAGAAAAACATTCCGATTTGAATTTGATGCTTTTTTGGCTTAGTTATGATCGATTTTTGATTGAATGAAAGATCCTATGGCAAACTGCAAGGGTATACACATTTCGGCTTCCCGAAGAAAGTTTTCTTTCTTGTTGTTCTATAATTTTTATATAAAATATTTCCAAACAATATATATATAGAATACCAATCGCTACAACTTGAAACTACAAATATCAGAAACACCATAAATGATACATTGAAGGGTATATATTATTTTACGCTTCCAATTAAGTGCAGCGAGTTACATTTTCCACTTTCTGAGTGGCAATTAAGTACAGCTTCCCCGAAGTTGCACAATATTTACCTGGCAGCCGTCTGTCGGAATTGTTCACCGGAAGCCGTCGCCGTCAAGGCGTCAACAAGTTCAATTAGCTAACCGAAGGAACCAGAAATTGCTGCAATAACATGCCGCGCGTTCATCGAACATGAAAATCAAGAAGTTTTCTCTGGAGTGTGTCTATGTGTGGGCACAGCTAAGGTTTTTCTCAGAAGAAAACCCGAAGGCAAAAGAGCCAAGGTGCAGGGCGCAGCTGCTGAAAGTGTGAAGTTTTAATAAGCATCACACGTTTAGTGCTCCATAAAAGCAAAGTCCTTGACAGAAGTTGCAGTCTTTGCACAGGGAGAAATCTCTGATTACTATATTAATTTGGTATTAAAATTATATAAATTAAGTTGTTCGCCTTACATAGTTATACTTTCATTGTACGTAAACAACACAAGTATATTTCATATAAAATGTATAAAACATTTACAATTTTTTTAAAATCAAAATTTTCAGCATTGTTCTCTATAGCTGTGTTCACACTACATAACTTCCTGCATTCCTGTGATTACAAGAGTCAGGACTCAAGCCATTTGGCGGGGTAATTAAATTGAGTGCTGCATAATTTTACTTTGCGGCTGGTTGGAGTTGGCAAACTGGTGCAATTACCTGTTAGCCCTCAACGGCGAAAACACACACAAAACTGCAGCCAAATTTATGGGACTGCTGGGAGAGGGGCATCGAGAATGAAAATGCATTGGGAAAGTTAATTTTCATTATGGTCGAGGCAGGTGGAAATGTGTTGTTTTTCCCTTTCCGCCATTACCTTTGACTCGTTCGCGGCGGACGTGAAAAATCGTCCTTGCGGTTACAGAGAGAGAGAGAGAAGGAGAGAGGAGAGTAAAAGGAAATAGAGGAAAATTCTCTGGACAATTTGAAATATTCAAGTGGTTTTCGGTTTCCTCATTGATTTATGAACTTTTCGCAGGTTAATCGTTTCCCTACTTCTGCTATTTTCTGGCCAGTTTCACTCATTAATCCTGGCTGCCGCCAGTCCCGGTCACGTCAATCAGAAGGGGGGAGGGGAGTTTCCTCTTCGTTCTGTCCTTTTATTCCCAATTAGTTGAGCAATTTTCGTGAGTATTAAATGGCAGTCACTCGATCTGCTTACTCACTTTAAATAAAGCTCACAAATTTCTCGCGTAATCGAGCCATAAGCGAATCAATAACGGGCATCAAGTGGATATATTCCACCACTCCTGGTGGCCGGTCGCCTGGCAAAAAATAATTAAGAGCCTCATCATCGACAGCAGAAAGAAGAAGCTGTTATAGGAGCATCCTTCGGCTACAGCTGCTCCTTGCTCCTAGCTCGTAGCTCCTTGCCACTGCTTCAGCTCCTTGTCGAGATTCGTGAGTGGTCCATAATTAATATTTTTTTTGCCTTATTCCAAGACTCAAAGCAAAAGTCGCCCCGTTGTCTGGACAACGACTTGCCTTTAGATAAAATATTAAAAGAGCATTTTCGCCCTTTGGCTAAGGACAATGAAGTTGGAATGCGCTTTTGTGTGTTATTTATCAGGCTGCTAGTTGACTTTAGTTTGCATTTTTTAAGAAAATGCAATTCAGGAAAGTATTGTAATAAGAAAATCCTGAACATTTTGAATATAGGAAGTGACTAGTGACTTGGGTTAATTATTTTAAATTTTTTATAAATATATTTTATAATTTTTAAAGATTTTAAAGATCAACTTCACTGTAGCTCCAGACCATTGATAGTGTATAGAAACTGGCAACTTCACTTTAAGCTGTGCCGGCAATAATAATTCCGGGTAAGCGGCTACAGGTTACCTCAGCAAATGGAGGTGAGGCCAAGGGGGTCTTACCTGTGCTGATATGCGTCCCTTCTTCAGTCGCGTGAGGTCCGTATGACTCCAATGGCTGCGGCCCCAGGGCATTACATTGCGCAAATCCTCATCAAAGCTGGTGGCGGGAGAGAGGGGATAATAACACAAAATTGGTATTAAATTTTAATTGCATTTCCATGTGATGGATGCTCACTTGAAGTCGTTGAGTTTGTTGTGCAGGAACTTGCGGATATTCCAGGGTAAATCGTTATGCCCGTCGATTAAAGGCACTTGATCCAGCAGCTGAACGGCCACGCGCAGTCTCTCCTCGAATGGGGCACCTGCAAAAGGATAATGCTCATTTTTGAAAAATGTATTTGAGTTTAGACAAGTTTCCTTCCATTTCTGAATTATTTGGCCCAGTACTCTATCAACAGTTGCTAACCAACTTAGAGTCATTGTCACTCTGGTACGCATACCGCATCCGACACTGGCTACCAAGGATCCCTTAGCAAGGCCGACGTGTCGTATGCGTTATGGTAATTGATTTATTGTCCATGGAGTGGCCGTGTCTCCAGCAGGACCAGGACTGAGGAATGCTGAGCTTCAGTTCGGGGCTTGGTTCCTTCCCTTTCCCCATTCGATTCGAAGCGATACTCACTTGCTGCCACACGTAGCGCCAGTGGCACGGCCACACTGGCAGCGCCAATTATCAGGAGGATGGAGCTCACAGCCAGCCAGTGCTTGGCAGCATCGAAGCCTGCAGGAGGAGAGCAGCGTCATCAGCATTCATGATGACCAGGGGTTCCACATCGATTGTTGTTGTTGTTGTTGCCGTTGTTATTGGCAGTTCAATGCCAAGTCGTTTGCAGCATCGTTGTCATCATCATCATCATCATCATCAGCAGAAGCAGGAGCAGGAGCAGGACGTCATAGTCGCAGTGGTTCCATTGTTCATTGTTCGATGTTGTGTTGCATTTTGTGTGTGTGCAAATTGGCGTGACAGTGGCATTGATTACAGCAGCAGCAACAACGCCGCAGCATGGGTAGAAGCATCGAGAAAATCAGGAAAAAGCATCAGTGGCAGCATCATCGACATCAATATCAAGTTGCGGCAACGGGTTCCCATCGAGGAAGCACAGAAAAGAAAACGATAATAAGGAAATATGGTTAGTTAAACGTTTAAAATTGAATTGCTGTACTGGTTTTTTGGTCAACAAGAAAAGGGGAAAGGAAAAGCTTCTTTGAGTTGGTTTTTCCCCCTTGCCAAGTAAATTGAGTTCGATCAAGCAAAACAACTTGTTGGATATGTGCTGAAATTAGCTCGGAACGAGTATTCTGGACTTGTAATTCAAGCAACGTTCGCTTTGCTTGAATAGTTTGATTGGGAACTTTAGTTATTTGAAGTCAAGGAAGGGAACTGGGAAAGTAAATATTATACATGTAAAAGCTTAAGGAAAAGTAGTTTGAACTTGCTAAGATGTTACTATTTAATGCCTCAATCACAGAATACTCAAATTACCAATTACTGTGGCAGTCTATTGTGCGATTGCTAAGCATCTCTTGGAGCCAGCCGTAATCATAATACTCCATAATACTCGTTAATACTCGCAGGTATAAGCTTCTTACTTCTCTCCGGGTGAAAATGAAGCCCACACAAGGCTGAGGCAAAGCAAATCGATGTAAATGCCAATCTCATTATGCGATTCTGATTATGCGAGCTATCAATATCGAGCTGGTAATTTCTAATTGCAGTCCAAATTTTGATTATACAAGTAAAATCGAATAAAATGGAAATGGGAAGCTGAAACCGACACCGGAGCTAAGCAAATAAGTCAAGTGAGGCAGAAAACTAGCTCTGTGCATGGAGCTCGGATCGGATTCAGGCGCCAGAGTGAGCGATGGCTGCAATGTATCCATTTGATTACAGTGGCCGGCACTTGGGCGATTCCAAAAGTGAATTACCGATAAGCAACTGGAAAATGAAAGGCAATGTGCAACCTAACGAGGAAACTCTGCTCAGGCAGGGATGAGTATAAATAGGTGTGCGCTGTTACGTCAACTAGAAATGTGTGCGAGCACTGCTAAAAAGCAGATTACAGAAATTTTGGAACATAATAAAGTATAAAATGGGAGTCCCAAGACTTACTACTTTCTCTTTAAAAACTTCTCTCATAAAATTACTTTTGCGAATTCATTTTATCATCTAGAAAACCAGCGAAAACCTTCTCATATTTATTACCATACTTTTTTTTCGGTGTAAAAAAGGGTCCAGTTGGCTGCAACCGCAGCCAGCGATTTGCATAAATTTAAGGGGGAAGAGACACAGGACATCGTCCGCAGTTACGCAGTTTTTGACTGCTAACGAATTGCAGTTGCCAGGAGACATGACGAGGATGGGAATGAGCAGCCCGAGACTGATGATGATGATGATGGGACCAGGAGCAGGACCAGGACCACGACCAGAATGAGTATGGTGATGAGCATGACAAGGTTGGTGGATTGGTGGATGCTGTTTCTGCTGATGATGATGAGACCAAAGTCACGCGGGCATTGGCAAGGTTTAACATTTAGCAGCCATGTTACATGAAGCGCAATCAAACGGCTAACGACTAAATGGCAATGCTCCCCGGAGGACGGACGCAGCCAACGGGCAGCGGAATATTAAGTGCAATGTCATGTACAGCGTCTGGCAGTAGGACCGCTACACGGGCAAATGCCCAAATACCATTGCAAACTGACGGTGAAACGTCATCAAATTCCATCTTAAATGAGTTCCAAATCCCCTTCGGGATCCTTTGTGTTGAAAAAGGATTAAAAATTTCAAATTTCTATGATTTCAACTCTACAAAATGTTGCAAATATATAGGAGAACTTGCCTAGATGATTTATCTATAATATTTTCTGGTTTTTAAATCAACACATTTCATAATCCTATAAAATCCCCAAAAGAAACCCACCCTTCGATACTTACGGAACGAGTTTGTGCCGGAGCTGGAGGATCCCCTGCTGGGACACTGGCGGTGCTTCCACGGCATGATGCTCGTGACGCTCGAGTGGAGCTGGTGGTGCTTCTGCGGCGTAACCGAGCCCGAACCGGGGCCGGGACCAACTCCTCCCATTCCGCCCGCGTGATAATGATGAGGATGCTGATGCGTGTGGGGATGCGAATGCGAGTGCGGATGATGCAGCGAGGTCTGCGATTCGCGCTCTTTGAGGCCATGTCCGATGTCGCTGTCGAAGGAGGTGAGTGTGAATGTGGAGGAGGCGGCCAACCCCGATGCAGTGGTCGACATTTTTTGGTAGGGAACACGGCAAGAGCCACCCCCAGGTGCTGCTCCTCCGCCACCGCCATCGATGTTGACCAGGTTGTTAAAGCTGCGACTATTAATCGGCAGCGTCCAGTCCATGCTGCTGGTGTGAAATATTGCCGGCTGTTGATGTGCATTGGGGTGTTGGTGTTGCGAGTTCTGGTGAGGATTCGCCTGCTGCTGCTGCTGTTGCTGTTGGGGAAAACTCAGCAGGGACTGGGAGAAGCAGCGACATCGCTGCTGCTGGAAGTGCGCCATCTGCTGCTGATGGTGCTGCTTCTGCAGGTAGCGGCTATAGTGCGCCAAGTGTCTGGCATAATCGCTGCTCGGCCCAATGGTATTGTATTTCGATGACGACAGGAAGCACAGACTGGGATCTGACCTCTTCGAGTGTGGGGAAAAGATCTCGTCCTCTTCGTGGGCGGCAAAGGGGGGCGGTGGCTGCTGCGGCGGCGGGTTCTGTAGGTTCTGATGTGGGTTCTGAGGAGGCATCGTCTGCGGCAGCTTGTGCCTGTGATTGTGGGCATGTCCCGGCGGCTGGCAGAGATCGGGCTTTGCCGCCGATTGATTGTTGTTGTTGCCAGAGCTACTGCTACTGTGGTTACTGGTCGTGGTGGTGCACTTGAGCAGCGTGGCGGTGCACTCGTCCAGCGCCGATTTGGTGCACTCCTGCAAAAGATCGCTGCTGCACAGCTGCGACAAGTGATTGTTGTTGTTGTTGCCACTGCTGCTGCTGTCGTTGCTGTGCTGCTGCAGCTGTTGCAGATGCTGGAGCAGTCGCAGACTCCGCATGCTGCCATTGCGCTTCATCGAAATCGATGGCGGCGGCGGCACAGGCGGTATGACATCCACATCCGACAAACTGGGCGTGTCACTCTGCGGCACCGAAAAGAGAAGAGAAAGAGAGCAAGGACAGGAAGTGAGTACAGCTGGTTGACAGGCAAACAGAAGGGAAATTCGCATTAAATCAATATGTGGACATGAGCAGCTTCCGGCGGATATGAGGCTTTGGTTGTGTTAAATTCTATTTCATCTATCGTTTTTCCAGGGTTTTCCCTGTAAATAATCTTTACTTAATTTAATTTTAGATAAAGTCATGCATAATGTTTTAATGTCAATCTAATTTCTCTCAGATTTGGGCTAAAAAGAAGAGTTTAGAATTTATTCTTGCCTTTAAAATTATCCTATGAATATTATGCTTCCTCAAGAGCTGATCAGCACCTTTTCCCTCTTTTTTTATTCAAGTAGTTAAAGTTTTTCCCCGAGAAAAAAGGGACTATAAACATTGGCTTTCACTCATAACGAGCGCCCCGAAAAATATGCAACGCACTCTTTTGCCAAAAAATTTCGCAATATGGTGTAAAAAGACAGGGAGGGTGGGATAGTAAAAGAATGGGAGATTTTTAGAGTGATGAGGCATGGCAGAAGGAGAAAAGACGTTCCTTTTTGGGAAGCGTAGGACGTAGGACGTAGGACGACGCCCCCTGGCTACATAAAATTTAATTATGCCATAGACACCGGGGCAGACTAAGGGCCTCCCACACTCACGCACAGCTTCCTTGGCATGAAAAAGGGCAGGAAAAAGGTTTATCCTGCACACCCTTCCTGCCAAATTTTCCGACACTTCCCAGAGAGCGTGGCCATGCCAAGTGCCCTAATTGAATTTGCTTCGGTCAGCATCATCATCGTCGGCGTCGTCATCATAATCATCGACAGGAGAGATGCTTTGGGACTTGAAATTGAATTTCAGTTACGGGAAATACATTTGCATTGATTTGCCTTGCCCATCTTTCGGTTTTTTTCCTTTTTATTCCTGGGTTTTTTATACCCTTGCAGGGTATTATAATTTCAGTCAGAAGTTTGCAACGCAGTGAAGGAGACGTTTCCGACCCTATAAAGTATATATATTCTTGATCAGCATCAACAGCCGAGTCGATCTAGCCATGTCCGTCTGTCCGTCTGTCTGTCTGTCCGTCTGTCCTGTCTGTCTGTCTGTCCGTCTGTCCGTCTGTCTGTCTGTCTGTTTCTACGCAAACTAGTCCCTCAGTTTTAAAGCTATCTGAATGAAACTTTGCATATAGTCTTCTATATGCTCTCACTGCTATATATGTCGGAACGGGCCGGATCGGACGACTATATCATATAGCTGCCATACAAATGTTTGATAAATTTTTAGAAAAAAAAGTATAACTTGGCTGTTTTTCAATATTTTTGCATCATTTTTGAGATATAGCCATTTTATATTATTCCAGAATTTTGGTAAAAATTTTATGAAAATCGGACGACTATATGATATAGCTGCCATAGGAACGATCGAGAAATTAATAGAAATAAAATTATAGCTTCGTTGTTTTTCAACGCATTTTTATTTACTCTGAGATATACGTTTTTTTTATTATTCTAGAATTTTGGTATAAATTTCATAAAAATCGGACAACTATATCTTATAGCTGCCATAGAAGCGATCGGTAAATGTATAAAATATATAAAGCTGAGAATGTAAAACTGTAACTGTCAAACTGTAAACATAATAAGTATAGGTAAAATGTAATGAAACTCTGTTTTGTGAGTGTTTTCAGCATTTAAATCTATAAAATAAACATCAAAACCAATCTGCAAGGGTATACAAACTTCGGCGTGCCGAAGTTAGCTTCCTTTCTTGTTTTTTTGTATTTTTGTGTGTTTTTGCGTCCTTGGTGGAATTATTATTTTTATGCGTCTGGGGGCGAAACGAAACGCATTGCCATTAATAAAAATTTCCTTTGAATTTTGATTGCTTTATGCTTAGATTCAAAAGGAAAAAGTGTGTTGTGCCGTTGTTGTCTGTGTCTGTGTCCTTGCTGATTATTTTTTATTTACTTTGTCTTGTCCTTTTTTTTCAATGGCCGTGTCGTGTCCCGTGTCGCGCATCCTGCCCACTGCTTAAGTGGAAATTGAAATTTTCATATTTTCATTTGGTAATTTATTTATGCTGTCCTCCTGTCGTCCTCAAATAATTTATGCAAATATTTAGCGGCCGGCGTGTGCTGCATATTTTAAGACTGGCCAATTTGTGAACGCTTTTCTTGTTTTCATCTTTTCTTCTCTTTGAATTTATTTTGTCACTCTGTGAGGTATGGGAAACGTTAAGGTTTTCCTCATTTACAACGAGATCAAAGTTCAAATTGGGCAATTATAATTGATAATTTGAGAATAGTGATGTAAAGAGAGATTTAATTGGAGTTTGTTGTGCCAATTAGAGATAAATACTCTTGAAAATGCTGTAGCGCTTCAATCTGTTCTTTGTTGTATTCTGAAAAGGATTATCTAGCTAATGCAGTACCACACACAGTGCATAAAATATAAAATACTAATCGCTTTAAAAACTAATTGTCGACGATTATACATGTCCCTTTGAAGTCCTTTTTTCTCCTCATCTCTTTTCAGATCATTACCTTTTTTTCTGTACTCCTGAGCTTTTCACTCTTTACTTCAAGAGTCTAGGGCAAATCAGTCTCTAATTAATCCCTGCCCTGGTTTTTTTCTTTACAAACTTTCGTATTTTATTTAAGGAATAAATTGCTGCAAAATTGTATGCAACATGCTTACTTGGCGTTTATGTCGCAAATTTTACATGTTTATGGAGGAGAAAAAGGGTTGGAGAAAAGTGAAGAAAAAGGGGAAAAACGGAGGGAAAGCCCCTCGAGGACCTGCGGTGAACCGCATCTCGTTGCGTTTTTGAGCATTAAATTGCTTGATATATCGCTTTAGTTTCTTCGTCGCTCGTTGTTTTTTTTCGGATGGAAATTTTTCGCATTCGCCTCATCCTCTCGTGGCGTGCTCTTTTGAATTATGCTTTGCGTCTTTGTCTCGTTTTAAATTTCATAATGCACATTTTATAATAATTTTTCGTCTACTTTGCTGCAATTTTGTGCAATTTTTTACTATAATTTATGTAACTATACGCGAGTGTGCACCCTTCCCTGCCCTGCCGGCCACTTTCGTCATGGAAAGGCGAAGGGAAAAGGGTTTTCTGGAGAGCTTCTGGTGTGTCGGGCGTAATGTTGAGTTATGGCAGTTTTGTAGTTTGCGAAAAAAAACTTTTTTACGAACGTCTCTCTCCCTTTCTCGTTCCTTCTCGGTCTCTGTTTCTCTGTCTCAGTTTTTCCCCTCTGCTGTCCGGGTATTTAGTTAAATGTTCGTAAAATTGAGTGTTGGTTATATTTTACTGGTAACTTTTCCCTCCCAAAAAGAGAAAAACAATCGCCTTTAATCGATTTGGGCAAAAGCAATAAGCAAAAACTTTTATAAATACTCAAGTTTGTTTTAGTTTTCTGCAGCAGAGTCCAGGAAAAACTCTCCTCCCTGCCAATTTGTAATTATCCATCAGAGCTTTTAACTTTACGACTTTACCAAGGGCCATTTCGGCTTTTGTTTGTTAGCTTTAAAAGCAAGCTGGCCAAAAAATAAGAAAGAAAGTTGCCAATTATTAGGGCTGTAAACGTGGCAAGTTTGACCATAAAAACTGCGTGTGAGGAAAAACTGAATGGCGTAGGGGAAGATGTATGGCTACTTTCCACACTTTATTACACATTTATCAATTTGTGGGTTGTGGGTGTTTCCTAGCACTTATTAAAGTGCGCTAATTATTTGTTTAATGCTGTGCACATACAAAGAACACATAAAATTTTATTTAACATATATAAATTGTGTGATTCGTTTCTCTCTCTGTAGAAGGTTTCCTTGTCACAGTAAATTTCTGGTCAGTTCACTCAGCCAGTCAACCATACCATATATCAGTGCATCCATCTATCAATCCCGACTAGAGGGAAGTTGATAAATTTAAAGTTTAGAGGACCGCGAGTAAACAACTAAATGGAGCTCAATGTAACGCATAGCGTAAATAACACCCCTAAAACGATGCTGCTACTAAATTATGTTTGCCGTTTGAGCACAAAAACGGATAGACACTGAAGAGTGAATACAGGGACAGATAGGCCTAAAAGCACTGGGAAAATCCCTTCCGGCAGTTGGAAAAGCGCCCACGCATGCCGCCAAATTGCAGCCACAATTTGCTGTAACAAACTCAACTGAGAGAGCCAAACTGAAAACTACAAAACTGGAAACTGGAAACTGAAAACCGTAAGTGGAGCACAGGCCCATGGAAGGGCATACATCAAATGTGTCAAAGAGATTTGTTATGCATGACAGCGGCCCCTTGCCAGTTTGCTGTAAAAAGTTGACCAAGGAAAATAATCAGACTAGGGGATGCCCCCGATTATAAAAACAGGGTATACTACCCCAGTCTGAGCTTTAATTTTTAGAATTGCAAGATAGGCTGTGATGACAAATTCTAGAATAATGCATTTACATTGCCTTGCTTTATTGAACCGAAGCATATCCAAACTTCATCAAGATGTTGTACTGTAAGTGTTGGTATGTAGTGGCTGTGTCAGAAAAGAGCTTCGTTTCCCCGACATTAAAGAAAAAACAAAAAGGGAAAAAAAGGTGAATAAATAATAAGCGTCCTAGATCAAGTTGGTTGTCTTTACGAGATTGAAGAACTCTTCTTTGTCGACCTCGCCATCGCCGTCGGTATCGGCCTCGTCGATCATCTCCTGCAGCTCTTCGTCAGTGAGATTTTCGCCCAGCTCCTTGGCGACGCGCTTTAGGTTGCGTAACGATATCTTTCCGGTGTGATCGTCATCGAAAAAGGAGAACGCCTTCATCATGTCCTGCTTGGTGTCCTTTTCGGACATTTTCTTGTGCATCAGATACAAAAAATCATTGAAGGCAATTCTTCCAGTCTTATCTTTGTCAATCTCATCCATCATACGCTTGATGTCCTCCTTTTTGGGCTCAAACCCCAAGGCGCGTATGGCCACGCGCAGCTCCTTGGTTTCGATAAATCCCGTGCACTGGGTATCGAATAAATCGAAAGCCTTCTTAAGGTCCATCTTCTGTTCCAGCGATAGGTCAAAGGTCGGCAGCTTCTGCTTCTTCGGGCGCTTCGTCTTGCTGCTCAGAGAGGCCATCGACTGGATGGCGCTCCCCGAGGACATCGTACTGCCTATCATTCGCATGCTCATGGTGACTGATTTGCCGATAAAGGTATCGAAAATTTCAAGATCGACGTTAGTAAATGTTGTAGATATAGTGTGAGCCAATTTGAATCACGATAGTTTCTCTCTCACAATTTGCCTGTAAATATTTGTTTATTTATCAAAAACAGTAACGAAATGACACGGACGGGATATCGAAATGATCGATATCAGTGTTGCTAGTGTGAATGTTGAAAGTAAACTGATAACTTTTTGAGCGGGCTATTCGAACTATTCTGACAATTTGGACAGATCTGAGGCTTGACCTACTTTGCTACGATTGTTTTTACGTTGTTAGTTCCTGGAGATACATATAAAATCTTGTATTATTTAGTTGTTATTGTTGTTGTTGTTGTAGTATTTAGCGTTGAAAGATTACTTAACAAGCTAGTTAGTCTTTACTTTCATGGCTAGTCTCTTTTAAAGACGGAGTATATTCTAGTAAGTTTATTTTCTCTGTCATTCACCTGGCATCCTGTTTAATAATTTTATCGATTTCACATCACTCCCCATGCACTGCATTTACCACAACAATCAAAATTCGCATGTGTGTATGGTAATGCTCAGTGAACTTCAACTCCATTTGGTCCTTGGACTAGCAGCTAGGGGGATGTGGCAGGTGTCAGTCAGTTAGTCAGTGTCGGTGTTCTACCTGGTGTAGCATACATACACCATCCCTCCTTTGCCCTACACCAAGGTACGTGCCACGCTCTGTTTGCTTATCGCATTTGCCTGTTGCAGAAGCTCGAAACTCGGCAGCGGCTGAAGCCCAGGTGGAAAATCAGGAGGAAAATCATTGAGGAGGCACGTGCCGCCGCTGGCTGCTCATGATTACAATTTCAATTACACAAAGTGGTGCGGGGATTTCACTCACCTGGCTGGGGTCTCCCCCTCCTCCTCCTCCTGCTGCCGTTCCAAATCCCACACCAGATCCCGATCCTACTCCCAATCCGATTCCCAATCCCGTTTCCATGCCAGTCAGCGATAATTTACGATTACGCTCGCGCTCCAGTCTCATGAGTATCTGTGCGTTCTGCTCGCAGCTGTAGGTGTGTGTCTTGCGCTTTCGTTCCAGACTGTACTCGTACAGGGGTCTGGCCGCATTCGGCTGCAGATCCAGCTGGGCTTCATCACCGGCATCGCAGCTACACAGGGACTGATTGGAGCGGCCCTTGCTCCGCTTGAGGGAGCCGCGGTTCGACGACGATGGCGTCAGGCGCTGCTCGCTCACGAAATTCGAAAAGGTTACCACATTTCCAGAGGAACCTTATGAAGAGGTATAAAATAGTTCATTTAAACTTAGTAGCAGGGAAACCTAGTTCTCTTGGTGTAAAACCTACCTGTTGGGGCACCTTTTCGCTTGGATGGCGAGACGTAGAAAATGTCGTGCTCGTCAAACTCCACGCTGCGCTGGCCAGTGACCGCCGCTGCCAGACCACATCCTCCACCGGAACTAGGTCCTCCTCCGCCGAGAGCCGTAGTCGCCGTGGCCGTGCTGCTGCTGGTGGTGCTGGCCGCACTGTTGCCACCGCTGCTCAGATTGCAGCCGTGATCCGCCAGCGAGTGCAGCAGGGGATGCACCTGACGATCACCTCTCAGCGAGTGCTGCTTGTGGAGACCATTAGCCCGTCTTAGCTCCGTCATCGTGTCACCGGTTTCACTCTTTCTCACTGATTGCTATTCCCGGAGCCGACTTATTGTCATCGAGAGGGGGTAGCTCGGGGTGCTCACTGCTCGCTGCTCATGAAATATTCATGCCACACTCGCTGACTGCTCCTCGGCATTAGCATATCACTTTGATTCCGATTCCGTCGGGCTGCTGCCTGCTTTATATATATTTTTAATTTTAAATTTGGCCTCTTGCTGGGCTAAGCCGGCTCTAACGATTTCCTTGTGTCAATATACAGCTGATTCGGAATCCGATTTGCCAGCTAACTGTTTCAATTGTGGCGCCCGCGCCCCTTGTCGTTTTGGCCCTCTCATTGCCGGCTGTCTCCTGGCTCACATTCTTTTGCCTTTTCGCTGGATTCTGTTGGATTTTCCTTTCCTCGATTCTGGATACTTTCTGGTGATTCTGGAGACTCCTCCGCCGCTGCTTCCTTTGGCGGCTTGCCTTTGTTTGCTCTGTTAATAGACTTGGCTTAGTCGCCGCCGGTTGTTTGTCTATAATAACTGCAAGGAGAGCAGAGAGCCAGAGATGAGATTAGGCTTAGGCGATATGTGTGTGCTTACTAAAAAGTCTATTCTAAATTGATTTCATTGTTTGCCAGGACACAAGAGATAGCGGAGTCCTTGTAAATATGTGCAAATAATTATGGGATGGGCTTTATTTACTTATTTTATCTAAGTATTTCTCGAAAGCAAAACCAAGGGAACATAAGAATTGGGGGGAATTCGAAATCAATCAAAATCCTGTTTGGTTTTTATGGGTAATATTCAATAAATAAGAGTTGATATGCTTGTAACCCAAGTTTGGGTTATATCATAATGAATTTAACATTAGAATTAAGTTAAATATCTAAATATTTCATAGTTAATAAGCATTTAAAGTTAACTTTTTTAACAACACCTAATTAGACCACCTGTTGCCAAAATGCCGCAGACACCTTTAGCCAATTAGCAGCTGACCTTTGGCCTATTGATTTTTGAGGCGCGTGTTGAATGAATTTCTTTTTTCTGGACGCAACCAATTGAAGTTTTTTTTTTAGACCTTTTGCCAGGCAACCAAATTTTTTATTTTGATGCGGCCCCCTGCCATTTGGATGTCAAACTTTTCGCATAATCGATGGCAACTTTTTAATAAGCAAAAGCCAAGGCGAAACGAAAACAAAAGCCAAAAACAAATATAATAATCAAGCAAACAGGCGGAATTTGTTTCGGAACGGAGAAAATAATGGGAATGGCATGACAGCTAAGCTCCCCAGAAAGTATGCAATGTAATAATAACGTTAAAAGATAATGAGAACAGCCAAGGAGCAACAACAAGTGCTTTTTGGCTGCGAGCGTGGGAGAGAGTCTGGGGAGAGTTCCAATGCCAATTTTGGTTGTAATATATACAGCTGCGGGAGAAATAATAGGTTTATGTTCCGAAAAAATTAAAATTTTTAAAGATTTTATATTCTTAAACTTATTTATAAATATTTGTAACTGTATATATGAAAGAAAAGCAGTTTATCTTACTCTAAAATAGAAAAATATATATTTTTTACGCCTGATATATTAATTTTGAACTTATTAAGTTCAAAAAATATTTTAAAATTAATATTTAAAATGAATTATTTAATTTTAAATTAACTACGACAAAGATAAAGTACAACTTTGATTATCATATCTGTACAAAATGAGTGTGAAGCGAAACAAATAGGCAACTTGAGGCAACTTTCAAGAGCCGAACGAGCGCCACCCTTCGTGTGCGTATATGTAAGTATGTATGTACATATATTCGTATATATTTGCGATATTTATCGCTTCTTAAGTATTTTTAAGAAGTTTGCCGTCGCCAAGTTTGCGTCGACAAGAAGAAGCGAAACAACCAAACACCGAGCAAACATTTTTATCTTGGGCATATTTCGAGTGGCACTTCACTTGTCACAAGTCTCCCTCCCGCCAGGGAGCAAATTGTTTGGGTTTGTGTTGTTTCTTTTCTTTTTTTCTGTGGGGGGATGAGGGTTAAAGAAATTAAGAGAGTAGGGCAGGAGACCTCAAACATTCTTTTTCGGCAAAGTTTTGAAGGCTTTAATCAAGTTGTGGCACTTAATGAGCGCCTGTAATGAGTTAATTGTTTGCACATTGTTTGGCAGCTTCCGAAACTGTTGAATGTTCCAGATAGTTTGTATACCTTTGCAGTTTGCAATCGGACCCGGGGAAATGAAATTAATAAGCGAGCTTTTGATTTCAGGTCAAATTTCTAAGCTAAGCTTCGCTTTCAGTATTTCGTTTTTTTTTTTATTTTTTTTTATCTATCTTTCGGTTTTGGTTCTTTTCTGCATATTTTCTTATGTTTATAATTACTTATAAAATTTCACTGCCTTCCAAACATCTTTTTCAGTTCCGCTTTGCTCCGTTCCAAAGCATATAAAGCGGATCGGAAACATTTCCAATATCAGCCACAAACTATAGCCGAGTGTCGGTTACTCTTTCGCCCCTACCAGCTTCCTGTTTGTTTTGTGGTCTTCTATATTCTACACTCACTCTTCATTTCGCAAGTGGAACTTGGACGAAAACGCGGTAAAAAACGTAAAAAGTGTGGAAAAGCTTGAAAAAGTCGTCCCGTCGTGAAAAACCATCCCTCCGGAGGGATCTGTATCGGTGAAACGCGCGAAAATCTGTCGGAAACCCGGAAAACTCTAAGCAATGCGGCTCATTGCAAGTGTAAGTGAAAGAAAAAATTTGGAAAAAAGAGGAAAGAAATATTGAAGATTTGAAAACGATAAAAGCAACAGAGTGGGGTAAGTGAGAAACCAGTATTTTATTATTTTATTGTTTTGATCTCCCTTTGATTTTTGTTCTTTTCTGCATATTTCACGCCAGAGCTGAAAAATTATAAATAATTTATAAATACTTAAAAAGAATTCCCATCGTTTTTACTCTTTTACCGATTTTCAAACAACTGATTAATATTTTTAGAAAAATTTAATGAAATAATTATTAAACTAGAAATTAATTTATTTTCCATATACAGAGCTAGATTTTCACTACTTGTTTCTATATTTGTACACATTTATTGCTCCTTTTTGTTGACGGTTTATGACGGCTTCAACTTGACTGGATTAATTAATTTCGGCATTGATTTCGGGCCCCTAGACTACTTCTGCCTGCCTTTTGTGGCCCATCTCTGTAAAAGGGTTTTATGTGGCGGTCGTAAAGTGCGATAGTCCTTTTGGCTGATAAAACTAGCAAAGGAGAAAGGCTAACCGAAAGAACAGCGCCCTCAAACACAAATGAAAATCTAATTTAGAGCAACACACACGCACTGCTCTAGGGTGCTATAGGGTGTGGGGGGGATGGACATAGAGAGCTACACAAGTGATACATGGGCTCTCTTGGCAGGCAGTAAAAGCTTCGTCCTGCCTTTCATTTGCGTTTAAAGACCTCAAAAAGGACTTCCGCTTGCACTGGCCTACAAATTAACATGCCCCAATCTGTGACTGTCTCTGTGTGCATATGTGTGGGTGCCAGTGGGTGTGTGTATGTGTGTGCCGCATGAATTATGAGTAAAGCAGCTGGCAGACTTAATGGGAAATGCTCGACCCGGGCCAACAGTTTTTGGCCAAGAGCACACGCAAGGCGTAAATTAGAAGTGTACGGGAAAAGAAAGCATCAAGGGATTTGCTTTAGCATTCTCAAACCGACTTTAAATGCTCTTTTGTTTTGAATAATTCATGGTTTCTTTCCTTAAAATGTATAGAATATTTATTTAGAATTTTACTTGGACTAAAGACAAGTCCAATTAATTAATTTAAAAATATTATTAAATAAAATGAATGCAAAAATACTTTGAATTAATTATTATTATCCTTGAATATTTTTTTTTATAATTATTTTATTATATAATATCCCAAGTTTTCGGAAAATTCAAACAACCTCCTAAAAAAAGTCCCACGACACACACGTAATCACGCATGTGTGTGTGCTTGTATTCTGCGATGTAATATATGTTACGTTGTTGTAATGCTCGCGTTACTCATAAATTAGACACGATCTATTACGGACGGATTTATATGCATGAGGAGTCAGAGACAACAGCAGGATATACAGGATATAACTTGATAAACTTGGCCTAGAGACGACGAGTGGGTGTTGTTTTTAATTTTTGACACGTAGCGTTAAAAATAAAAGGAAAAACCCGAGCCCCAACATGTGTTCCTGACACTGTCAAAATAAAATAAAAATATAAAATAAGGGGGCGTAAAATATACATCCAAGTATTTTAAAATTCGAGAGAGGGATCGTATAATGAGTTCTCTGGCGGCGCGGTCATAAATACCATTTGGAGTGTATGGCCCATAGGTGGCCCATAAAAATTTGTTTAACACGCACACGTACACACACACACACCCACCCAAAGCATATACAGAAGCAAATCAAATTTATTTTATTCCATGTATTTTTTTTTCTTGCTTCGCTTTTATGACAGCGCAGCAAATTAATGAAATTTACGCAATAAATCATTTCACCAGAGAAACCAGAAAAAAAGTACTTGAAACAGAGAAGAAGAGATAGAAAAGCGGTGCAGGTGGAAGGAAAATAGTAGCAAAAATGTGTTAAACAAATAAATGAATTGTCTGTAAAGTTAACCAAATATTTGCAGCAATGATATGTTGAACGTGAATTAAGTTACAAATGTGTGTCATGTCCTCTTAAATTGCATTTTTTAAAAGTACCTATACATATGGACAATTAATTCCAATGAGAGTTTAAATTTACATGTTATTTCGATAACAAATTAAATATATGTTTATATGTAGAGGAAATATAACCCTTTGTATTTGTTAAATTAGCAAACAAGTATATATTGATTAATCAAATATTAGTCTATTACAAATTGATATATTTACAAACGGGAAATCATATTTTAATTAATTAAATAGAATGAAAATTTAAACACTTTAAATAAGAAAGCCAGTCTGCTCTCTGCTCAGCCAATATCAATTATTAAACTTGTGTCGTCACACTTTCAAGGACTCTTTCCTTTTTGGGTGGTGGCTTCTAATCAATTTTAACAAAATTCCCGCCGCATTTCGCCTCATTACGGAATTTATTGCCACAGCCAGCCAGCTTGCCTTCTGGCTAAGCTGCCACATTTATTTAAACGAAAACTTTTGCAGTTTTTGGCCGGGTGGGAACTCCTCGGCTTTCCGGCTCCCCTGGTCCAGTTTCTGCACATTTAGCAATCCCATTCGCAACTCATATTTTTAGACTTTGTTCCCCTTAAGTGCGTTGACTGCACTTTTGGCGCTCGCATAAAACTTTTCCGAGCTCACTGACCCTCAAGCCAAGCCAAGGCGAGGCAAGCCATCCCCCGAAAACTCATACCCGTCCCCACAAATAGTCATCTGGCTTTGTGAAGCCAGAAATACCCGAGGACTTTCCGAGCTCTCCCCGTTTCTCTATCTCCAGTAATTCAGCTTGCATCCGTTTTTCTAAAAAGTTGCGCTGGAGCCGAAAATTCAAGTGGTTGTGTGGACCAAAGGCTTTTAGCTGACTTAACACCAGCAAATGCGCGTACTGCGAACCTTCTCAGAAGCACTCGGAAAAACTATTGGTACCAGAAAGTGAGTTTACGAATTATTGGAATTATAATTTCATTTCGATTCTGGGGCTTTTCTGCAGAATATCGAATAGTACCGAATACCTGACATTATATAATCTATAAAAATGATTTTTAACAAGTTTTATAGCAATTTTTTCAAGTGTTTCAAAGCACACACACTTAACACACCCAAAAATATATTGCCGCTGCTGCACATCCCCCTCTGCCATTGCATTCACTTCCCCTTTTTAGTGGCCTCATAAAGCTTGAGCTTAAGCATGTCGCCAAAGAAAGGGTTTCCTGCTCTTTTCCCTCAAAAATTTGCAAAAAAGTCGTTGGTGTGGGTGTGTGTAAAGGGTCAAAAATACATGCAACAGCGAAAAAATATAATAATAAAAAAGGAATATTACAATGGAGAGCGCGCGTTCGTGACTTAAAATAAAGAAATAACTTACAGAATAGTTCCAGTCAAACAATGCGCGACATTTGCTTCGAAGAATTTCAAACACACTCCACCCCCATACCCTGCACGCCCCTTTTATTTCTATATATTTGTGGGCGTGGCATATCCGCCAAGCTAACAATGCACCGCACAGAGAGTCTTGGCCAGAGTTTTTGCATTTTTTAGCCACCAGAAATGGCCTGTCCCCTCTCTGTTCTCCTCGAATTCCTGACAGTCCGCCCCAAAAGTTTAGCACTTGGCTCCATTTTTCCCGTTTTTGTCTTTGGCATGTTTTGTGGCTTAGTTGAGGTCTTTCTGGCTCTTTGTTATTATTTTTATTTATAGCCCTGCGCATTTTGAGTGCCTTCTGACTTATTTACGTACCTCGAAATCGGTGGTCCCACACTGACAGACTGCGAAATTAGTTGCTTGTTGACGGTTTGGGATTTTGGAACAGATCTGGAAATGAAAAACAAAATAATTTGTTTAGTAAATGATACAGTTTTAAACTAGTACAAGTAAGAAAGTCCGTAATGTTTTTATATTTTGTATAATAGCATTGACTATTAAACGTATCATTACATATCTTTGCCCAAGCTTGTAATATCCGTTTTGATCCATTAATTAATTTCATTATGCTTCTTATTATTTAACCACAGCCTTTAGCCAACGAAAAACAAACAACAAATTTACTCAGATGGAGCTGACAAACTCTGTGTGCATTGCAATTTAATTTGAATAATTTTTGTTTGTTGGAGGAGTTGCTCCTGCTCCGGGCTCTTTGCTGCCTCTCTGCTGCATATTTGCATGATATTAATTTGCATAATTATGTTGGCCATAAAGAAATGCCTGGCCATGGCCAACAATTTCAGAGGCCACACACACACACTGACTTACTAGCTCGCTAGAACCAAATGCAGTTGGCTTTCATGTACACAAAGTCGCAGGACTGTCATAACTAATACAGAGTTATTTATCCCCAGGGACCGATTTATATTACTTCCCCGTTAGCCATTCAGAGAGGAAGGGATGGGGGAGGAGGCTAGTGCCACAAGGTCTCTGGTTTACTCTTCCGCTCTGGTTGCGAAATTTATCAGTGTCAAAAAATAATAGCGCTCCCGTTTTCGCTTTTAATAATTTCCCCTGCGAAGTGGAGCATTTGGAGCGGAAATTGCCGCTGCTGCTGCTCGAGTTGCTTTTTGGGGCCATGACGTTTGGGGCCTTGAAAACAATGGTCATTTCGTAGAGCTGCACTCGAAATCGCTGTATGCCAGACCCCTCGGATCCTCACACCCCTCAGAATTACAAAAGCCCGCCGTGAGAACGCCTTCGGGAACTAAACAAAAACATTTATCCCCGTTGTTGACAGCCTTAAAACGTTGATTAAATTAATGCAATTTCACTTTCAGAGGCTGAAACTTTCTTGCTCGAGGATTTAATTGAATTGATTTTATTTTGCTTTATTATTATTGGCAGCCGTTGACATTCCGTAAATAAATGAAATTATTCAGTTTTTGTAACGCCCTGATTAATGTGAATTTGTTAGCGGCAAAGGTTAATGGCGGCATTACCTTTGAGCTAATTGCTTTCCACTGTTGACGTAAAAAGCTTAAGGACAATTGAGCTTAAATTGATGGGTTTTAGTCTTTATTTCAGTTGACATTTTCAGCATTCGCACTTGTCTTGAATTCAGTTTAAATTATGCATTGCCTTTTAAGATATATAACCCTATAACCTAGTTTCCTTGAGCTTTTAAATACCTTGACTGCCTAGATTGCAGGCTATATCCAGGCTATTTTTCTTCTTGAAGAGTCAAATAGTTTTCCGTGGGCCATCCATTAAGTTTTCATAATGTGGCCCGGGCCTTTGTTCAACTGTCTGCACATTAAGCGGGCCGAAACTTTCGACATAAATTCAGGAGCTCACTCCCATAAATATTACCCACTCTCGTCGATGGGTGAGAGACACCATGAAATATGCAGCCGGCATCGAAAAGTTTTTGTTGTTGCTCGGCGCTAAGCTATTGACTAAATACTTTGGCAAATTCATAAATTTAAGCACAGAGCGTAATAACATAAATATTTAAAAAATGCCAAACAAAAAATGTGGCAGCCGAAATTGAGTTGAAAACTTTCTTTCCCCAAGGGACGGAAGCGGGGGCATGTGTTCATGTTTCATCCCAGAAACTTTATTGGCTTGATTTTTGGAACGTCATAAAAGGCAGCAACTTGCCGGGCGGGCTTCTTTCTTATTCATGGGTATGGGTCGCTCTCATCAAAGCCTACTTAATGCCCAATATTGGCCATGGCTTAAACAGTTTTGACCATTTCATGAGCTTAACTTTGCCGGCCAAAAGTTTTTCCTTCTCACTTTTCGTGCTTGTCTCTTTTCCTTGGGATATTTATAAGGCCTTTTTCTGGTTTGGGGAATCCGCATTGATATTAAATAACGGCGGCCAGCAGTGGCACAAAATTCAGACATTAATATGCAGAGGTGAATTCGTTTTCAATGGCGAGGTGAGACAATTAAGGAGGTGTGGGTGTGCACTGGGAGAAATATTGAGGTTTTTAAAATGAATTTGAAGTTTATAAATATTTAAATAAACTTGTTTTGGGTGCTAAAGCTATTTTATAATCATAATGATTTTTGGGAAAGTGAATTTCTGACATCCCTAGCCTATGTAATAGGTATATATTCGCTGTGTAGACGTCCTTAATGGTTCATATCCTGTCGGAGGTGTTGTTTTTGCTCCATTAACACAAACACACGCCGTGCCGTGTAGCATTAGACTTTAATAAGCCAATAAGTTTGCTTTCAGGTATCCCGAAAACTGCTCAAGACATCCTTATCCTTATCCCTTGCCATATGGCAGTGTGGAGTGCATTAATATTTATGATCGGAGGACTACTACTACCCGGAGAGTTGTTCCTGTGCTCTGTCCATGCGTGCGTTATAAATAAAATTAAATGTATCAGTTAAGTTGAATTTTTTGTCGGTTCAAGCACACCGGAAAGGAGTTCGGTTCTCCGTGTCGATAATTTGCCTTGGTTTTCTCGGGGATAATGAGATTGTGGGGTTGCAGATTGGCCGGAGAGTTTCTACTCGGGTTAATGATGCAGTCGTTAGCGCGGGAGAATCGAGAACACAAGGGTTGGAGGACGCCGCCTCCTTCTCTGCCTTTGAGTCGAAATCTCCATGGATGAGAAGTAATGTCTTATGACCGTAGCTGTAATTAGGTTTTTGGGCATAACTAAGTGGAATGCCGCATGCCATCGGTGATTCAAGGGGTATTTATCCTGGATATGTAGGGAACTGGGTTTTCCGAGAAGCTTTAAGCGGAAGAACAATAATTACAGCTTACTCTTGGCCGCAAAGTAAAGCCAATAACTTTCTTATAAAGCTTTATTATAGGCCTATGGGAATAATCTGGGCATTAAAGTAGTCCATGCTTATGGGATTTTATTAGTAAGTAATTAATTATTTTAATACAAATATCTAACACTAATGTGTGTTAAAACAGGCAGAAAGGGAGCTATCCAGTTATTTATATTAAAATTTCCTCTGAGCTTATAACAAAGTGTCCAGTTACTTTCGGGAAACTAAATTACTATTTATGCACTTCCACATAGTTAACTAACTAGTTTTAGTTGGCAGTTTACTCTGTTGCACTACTTACTTTTCACTTTGTCTTTATCACACCCTCAAACCCTCACGCCCAGCCACCGCACACCCTCGATGATTGCCCTTATAAGTATGCAACACTTTGGGTTCGGGACTTTTCTCCACTTTTCCTTTCGCTTGCCCTGTGTTTTCCCGCTGGCACCTTATCTATACGCTCTTGTGTGTGTCTGTGCATGCGATATCAAATAACATCTTTATCAAACTTCTTTTTTTTCTGTTTCATGCACGCGACTGAAATAAAAATAATGATCGGGCCAAGAGCATGGGGAGATGGTGGGGAAAAAGGTAGTGGCTGTCGTGGCTGTCCTACTGCCAGACAACAACAGCAGCTATAAGAACAATAACTACAGCATCCTCAACAGTCCGAAGAATTAACTCACATGCCTGGCATAATAAACATAACAGCTTTCGGCCTTGGCTTTTGTTTTTGATGCCAGTAATTGTAGGGTAAAAGGGGTGTATTTCCTGGGTTTATTGTTGAGAAATTAACAATACATTTCAATATTTTAAAGCACATTTAAACTTAAAAAGATTTTTTTTATTTTATGAAACCAGTTTATGTTGTTTTAAGATTGGTTTTAGATATTTTAATAAATTAATTACATTTTCGTGTGTGTTTTTAAGGGATTTTTTCTGAAATAATACTTTTGAACGTCTGCATAACATATTGTGTCCGTTTTCTGGATTATTTAGATTTCCCTTGGCTCTTTTTCCCCAGAATTATTTTGTTTTCAATCTCCGAAAGGGTATCTAATATTCCCTAGCGCTTTTCTTAGCTTCTGCCAACTGCTTTATGTTTACTTTACTGTCTTTGCCTCTGCCTCTGTTGTTGTTTATTGTCGGTGGTTCTTCTCGGCTGCCTTCCTGCTTTCATTTGGCTGGTTAACATGCTCGCCTTGCTGTCCCGGCCTGTTATCCTTGGGTGTTCCGCCGCCACCCCAAACAAGACAACCTTGGGAGACGAGTCGAAACATGTAGGGAAATGGCAGAAACTTGTAGCCTTTCGGCCTCGCTCGAGCAGCTATCACCCAGAGACAGAGACAGTGCGAGGGAGAGAGAGAGAGCACTGCACAAACAACATAATTAGTGAAGAGCCCGAGGGCAAAGGCAGGTCTTCAAAGGCTGCTCCGCTCTGTTCTGCTAATTGAGCAGATTGTACTGCACAATCGAATTAATTTATTCCGAATTTCGCCTGGAAAAACTTCAATCATTTTGCCCCGTGCAATTTCCCGCACTTTCTCAGATGCCTCCACAGAAATTATGACTTAATGCAGGCGAAGATGTTCAGCGCTCTGCGATCCCAATGCTGAGCCAGAGCTGCAAAATTAATTTCCCAAGTGCATTATTTAGTGGGGGCGGGACTTCCCCGGTCCCGGTCCCAGCAGCGCATAAATCGACGTAATGGCAAATTGTAGCCAGCAGGAAAAACAGAAAAGTTGAAGCCCCGAAGCTTCGCACATAATGCGAGTATGATGAAAAATGAAAGCCAGCCGGGAATGTCAGAATTTTTCGACGACTCAAGAGGAGATCTCGTTCTACTTTTATGGTTAGCTAAAATCAAATCAGGCAAAATCTTGCAGGGATTTCGTGGGATGTGGAAGCTTGGGAAAAGCTGATCTAAAAAGAATATTTCATGGGAACGATTAAGATTGTCAGGTCTTTGATTTTGTATACTCTTTGAACATTGTTTATGATTTTTAAAGCTAAAAATTGGTGTTTGTATTTTTAAAGTGGAGCTTTAAACACTTGGTAAGGAAATAATATAAGTATTATTATTT